GTTAAATCAAAGAGACTGAACACATGTAAGAGGCTAAGAGACCGATCACCTTGAATCTAGGCTAAAAAAATGAATACTTCACCACACCAAATTTAACTTTAACAAGAACATCAACTGGGATCAAATAAATCATATCCTTAATGAATCATGCTGATAAAATATTCGAAGTAACATGAAGCTGAATCAATTCTAGAAAGTATTAACTGTAGTGCTAGAAGTATGCTTAAGGCACAATGACACCAGGGAAAACGTGGAGAATATGTAAGGTTGAGAGAGACGCTGCCTCTACAGGCAAAGAGGAAGAATCACACAATTTCTCAAGGGTGCTAAACTATCTGAAGCACAGAAGGAAGTACTGACTAGAAAAAAAAGAGGAAAATGAGACAGAGGGAGCTAAAAGCAATTAATGAAAGTGAAGAAATCTGAAATGTTTCTTCACATATGCCAAATCCAGGGCAACAACCATATCCGGTATCGGTCACTTCTCAAACACGATGAAATTTACACTGACGACAGAAAAAAAAATTTAGTGAAATACTGAAGTCTCAATATGACTGTGTTCAGTGAGCCATTAATCAGATTTAAGGTAGTTTTAAATTAATGGAGACCCAAAAACCTTTTCACTATCTCCAGAATTTCTCCTGTAACCCTAATTCCATACGCATTCGAAAAAGCCTCATTGACAACATGACCATGCACTCTGCCCCAGGCCCAGCCTCGTGGAACTCTGTCTTCATCAAAAACCCCAATAGACCCTCTGTATAGAGGGGGGAACTAGACGCGGGTGTCACACCACAGTAATTAAAAACAACAGATATAGCCACACTTCACTAAGGTGGCAGAAAAGTGTTATCAAGGGCCTATAGACAGACAGCACTAATGTCCCACATCATAAAAATCTTTTAAAGTGTTTTATGAAGCAAGATCGCTAACCACATGGATTCACAACAATTGTACAACCCAGGGCAATGAGGATTTAGAGTAGGTCAGTCACTCCTGTCTATCACAACTACTGGACCACAATGACATGATCCTGGATGGTCGTTCCTGCCTCTCCCATCTACTGGACGACAATGACATGGTCCTGGAGGGTCGCTCCTGCCTCTCACAACTACTAGATCACTATGACTTGGTCCTGAATGCAAATAACTGGAAATATGGGACCCAAAGAGTAATAGCAAACTGTTATAAGTTTTAGGATGTCAGAATGAAAAGCCGTGTTCCCCAAGGCACGGTACTCTCCCCCACACGTTTCCTAATTCCTATATCCGACAGACACAAATCATAGCACCGTTTCATCCTTTGTAAGTATTAGAATTTGCATGGGAGTTTCATCCACTGAGGACACTGCTAGTCTCGAAGAAGACATAAACCAGGTATTCCAGTGGGCCACAAGGAAAAGATAGGCTGGATACCAAGAACTTACAAGACAAGGAATTCTAAGCCAATGACAATACCTTTCAAATTACTCGTTCTCTCCAGTCTGGAATACTACCTACCTGCTGCGTACTTACGTCCTCCTCCAAGGCAGGTGAGATTGCCGAGCTGGAAAACGTACAGAAAACCTTCACTATCCGTATACACTATCAAACATTTACACTACCAGGAATGCTTAAAATCCCTTCAACTGTATTCCTTAGAACGTAGGCGGGAGAGGTACATTATAATCACACCTGGAAAAATCCTGAAAAGGACTGGTCTCAAACCTACACACTGGTATCACATCAAGGGACTTGGCAGAGAGTGCAAAACATCTCCAGTAAAGAGAACATGTTAAGTGTCCTCAACTCTTCAACGCCCGCCCTCCGTGCTTAAGAGGAATTACCAATAAACTTCTGCCTGACCTCAGGAGAGAACTGGATAAGTTCCATAAGCAAGTTCCTGACTACCAGGGCTGTCGTTCGCACACTGAATTGCATGAGGCTAGCAGTAACAGCCTGGTTGGTCATGTTTGATCCACCTGGAGGCCTGGTATGGGACCGGGCTGCGGAGGCGTTGAGCTTCGGAAGCGTCCTACAGGGTAGGGACAAACTGAAGAAATAAGAGTTGGAATGAAATATAAAATATTCCAACAACTGGCTAGAGCGAAAAACATAAAGGACTTAGGAGTGATGCTGTCAAAGGATCTCACTCTCAAGGCTAAAAACCTTGTCGTTATTACACCCGCCAGAGAGATGATAGAATGGATAACGAGAACCTTCAAAACAAAAGATGCCAAGCCAATGATGACCCTCTATAAGTCACTAGTTTAATCTAAGATGGAATACTGCTGTAAGCTAACAGTGTCTTCTAAGGCAAGCAAAACTGAATGTACGGAGAACCTTCACTGCACGTAGTGTTCGGTCGAGTACCTAAATCACTGGGAATGTTTAAAATCCCTTGACCTGTACTCCAAGGAACGGAGGAGAGAAAGGTGCTTCAAAAAATTGCACTTTAAAATTCCTAGAGAAACTGGTCCCAAATCTAAACACAGAAATCACTCACTACGAATGAAAAATGCTAGGCAGACGGTGCCAAATACCTCCCACTGAGGAGGAGTGAAGTACACTGAGACGCACTATAAAAAGTGTAAGAAGCCCAAGACAAGCTCCGATTATACCTAAGGGAGATTACCAGTATACCTCTAGCCAGCTTTATGAGCGAAAAGTATAAGTTCCACAGATCAGTTGCTGACCAGCCGGGTTGTGGTTCGTACATATGACTACGTGTGACCAGCAGTAACAGCAAGCTTGACGAAGCCTTGACCCACAAGGCGGCGGCCTGGTCTGGGACCGGGCAACGGCGGCGTTGACCCCTAGAAGCATCTGTTAGGTATTATATCAGAGGCTATGGGACTGATCCCCCTAAATCAACAATGCACTATTCCCTACGTCGCGAAACTTTACATTTGAACGCCATCAGACGTAAATATCGAACGTCACTGTACATGTAAGTGATGAAACTCGACATGAAACATGACTTTGTAAAGCTCTACAAGGCGGAATATGACTTGATAAAGCTCTACAGAAAGTAACAACTTGATAAAGCTGTGCACAGGGCGAAACATGATAAGGCTGTGCATAGGGCGAAACATGACTTGATAATGCTGTGTATAGGGCGAAACATAACTTGATAAGGCTGTACACAGGGCGAAACAGAACTTGATAAAGCTCTACACCGGGCGAAACAGAACTTGATAAAGCTGTGCATAGGGAGAAACATGATAAGGCTGTGCATAGGGTGAAACATGACTTGATAAAGCTGTGCATAGGGCGAAACATGACTTGATAAAGCTGTGCATAGGGCGAAACATGACTTGATAAAACTGTGTATAGGGCGAAACATAACTTGATAAAGCTCTACACCGGGCGAAACAGAACTTGATAAAGCTCTACACCGGGCGAAACGTCGACCCAATAAAAACCGGCTCTTCAACCTCTGTTCTTCCTTTGCATCAAGTACACCAAATACACCAGTGTGCGAAACATTCATCATGTTTCGAACACCAAAGCTAAAACGTACACCAGGAATGTACAGTGTATTTACAGTAGTGTACACTGTACTTACAACACTGTACATTGCATTCACCGCAGTGTACACTGTACTTACAGCAGTGTACACTATAATTACAGCAGTGTACACTGTACTTACAGCAGTGTACACTATAATTACAGCAGTGTACACTATAATTACAGCAGTGTACACTGTACTAACTGATTCATACACTCAATTAATTTTTTACTGTTTCTTACGAACGTAGCAGTGTTCTCACTGTTACGAACGTAGCAGTTTTTTTCACCGTTTCTTACGAACATAGCAGTGTTTTCACTGTTACGAACGTAGCACTGTTTTAACTGTTTCTTACGAAAGTAGCCTTTTCACTGTTTCTTACGAACGTAGCGGTGTTTTCACTGTTTATTACGAACGTACCAGTTTTTCACTGTTTATTACGAACGTAGCAGTGTTTTCACTGTTTATTACGAACGTAGCAGAGTTTTCACTATTTATTACGAACATAGCAGTGTTTTCACTGTTTATTATGAACGTAGCAACGATTTCACCGTTAATAACGAACGAAGCGACTTTTCACCGTTAATAACAAACGAAGATACTAGTCACTGTTTATAACGAACGCAGCCACGTTCTCACTGTTTATAACGAAGCAGCGACGATTTCACTGTTTTTCGACACTAATACACAGGTATAGATAATATTGCATTTATGTTGTGGGTGGCACTGTGCTTGTGGGTGGCACTGAGCTTGTATTGTGGGCGGTGCAGGGTTTGTATTGTGGGCGGCACTGGGTTTGTGCTGTGGGTGGCACTGGGCTTGTGTTGTGGGTGGCACTAGGCTTGTGTTGTGGGTGGCACTGGGCTTGTGTTGCGGGTGGCACTGAGCTAGTGTTGCAGGTGGCACTGAGCTAGTGTTGCAGGTGGCGCTGAGCTTGTGTTGTGGGCGACACTGAGCTTGTTGTGCGTGGCACTGTACTTGTGTTATGGGCGGCACTGAGCTTGTGCGTGTTACTGTACTTGTGTTGTGGCCGGCAATGGACTTGTGTACTGGGCGACACTGGACTTGTGTTGTGGGTGGTACTGTGCTAGTCTTGTGGGCGTCACTGGGCTAGTGTTGTGGGTGGCACTAGGATAGTGTTGTGGGTGGCCCTAGGCGTGCGTTGTGGGTTGCACTGTGCTTGTGTTGTGAGCAGCACTGGGCTAGTGTTGCGGGTGGCACTGAGCATGTGTTGTGAGTGACACTGTTTGTGTTGTGGGCGGCACTGGGCTTGTGTTGTGGGTGACACTAGGCTAGTGTTGTTTGCGACACTGGGCTTGTGTTGTGGGTGGTACTGTGCTAGTGTTGTGAGTGACAATGGGTTTATGTCATGGGCGGCACTGGGCTTGTGTTGTGGGTGACACTGGGCTAGTGATGTGAGTGGCACTGGGTTTGTGATGTGGGTGGCACTGGGTTTGTGTTGTGGGTGGCACTGGGTTTGTGTTGTGGGTGGCACTGGGCTAGTGTGGTACCGGGCTTGTGTTGTAGGCGGCACTGGGCTTGTGTTGTGGGCGGCACTGGGCTTGTGTTGTGGGCGGCACTGGGCTTGTGTTGTGGGCGGCAGATACACTGGTCTTAGCTCACACTCTCCACCACACACACTAAACTGCTGGCCAGCACCGCCCGCCCTCTCCCCACCACCCTCTACCCACCACCCTGCGCATACACCCACCAGCCTGCCACCCACCTAGCCACCCGCCCTCCCTGCGCATACACCAGCCCGTCTATAACCCACCCGCCCTTGTCAAAGTCTGTCCATATAGCTATGTCCTGCCAGTCATTTCACATTACTTTTCATGTCGTAATCATTTCTTCCCTGGTTCCTCGCTCTTGTGCAGCCGTTTGTGTGTACTTACCTAATTATGGTTGCAAGGATTGAGTCATAGCTCCATGACTGTGTGTGTGTGTGTGTGTGTGTGTGTGTGTGTGTGTGTGTGTGTGTGTGTGTGTGTGTGTATGTATGTATGTATGTGTGTGTGTGTGTGTGTGTGTGTGTGTGTGTGTGTGTGTGTGTGTGATTACCTAATTGCGGTTGCAGGGATCCAATCATAGCTCCTGGCACCGCCTTCTTGCTGGTCGCTACTAGGTCTACTCTCTCTCTGCTTCAAGAGCTTTATCATGCCTTTTCTTAAAGCTATGTATGGATCCTGTCTACACTACATCGCTCTCCAGACTGTTCCACTTCCTGGCAACTCTGTGATGACTGAAGAAATACTTCCCAACATCCCTGTGACTCGTCTGGGTCACAGGGATGTAGGAAGTATTGTGACCCCTTGTTGTGTCCCATCTCTGAAACATCGTGTCTCCGTCCACTTTGTCGATTCCTCTCAGTACTTGATACGTCGTTATCATATTACCCCTATCTCTCCTGTCCTCCAGTGTCGTCAGGTCGACTTCCCTAAACCTCTCCTCGTAGAACATACCCTTTAACTCCGGGACTAGTCTTGTTGAAAACCTTTGCACTTTCTCTCATTTCTTGACGTGCTTGACCAGCTGTGGGTTTCAAACTGATGCTGCGTACTTCAATATGGGCCTAATGTACACGATGTACAGTGTTTTGAACGATTCCTTGCTAAGGTCTCGAAACGTTATTCTTAGGTTTGCCAGGCGCCCATATGCTGCAGCAATTATCTGGTTGATGTGCGCCTCAGGAGATGTGCCCGGTACAATACTCACCCCAAGATCCTCTCCCTTGAGTGAGGTTTGCAGTCACTGGCCTCCCCTAGACTGTACTCTGTCTGCAGTTTTCTTTGATCTTCCCCAATCTTCATGACTCTACACATGGTGGGGTTAAACTCCAGGAGCCACTAGCTGGATCGGGCCTGTAGCCTGTCCAGATCCCTTTGTAGTCCTGTCTGATCCTAATCCATTTGAATTCTCCTCATAAGCTTCACATCGTCTGCAAACAAGAACACCTATGAATCTATCCCTTGGGTCATGTCATTCACATATACCAAAAAAAAAAAAACAGCACTGGTCGTAGGACTGACCCTTGTGGAACCCCGCTCGAGAGAGAGAGAGAGCGGCCAGAAGTAACAGTCTGGTTCTTCAGGTCCTGATCCACCACGAGGCCTGGTCAAGAACGGAGCTGCGGAGGGCGTCGACCCCTGGAACACCCTCCAGGTATACTCCAGGAACATGGAAAAGTAATAAGTAGGCGAGATGGAAGAAGGAACTCGAGGAGGAAAAGGGAGAAACGAAGAAAGGGGAGGGGAAGGAAGCGGCAAATAAGGGAGGGGAAGTGGTAGAGGAGAGGAAGAAGGGAGAGTAAGGAGGATGGGAGAGCAAATCACCACTAATGGAACCTGTTGGGAATAGCTGGGTGGGGAGGGTGATGGTAGGTTGGGCAATGGTTGATGTGGAGGGTGATGGCTGATGGGGAGGGTGATGGTTGGTGGGGTGTTGGTTGTTGGGCAGGGTGATGGTAGGTGGGGTGATGGTAGGGATGGTAATGTTAGATAGGGAGGGTTGCTCAGTGCTCTATCAACTCACTACTGTCATTATCAACTCACTACTGTCACTATCAACTCACTACTGTCATTATCAACTCACTACTGTCATTATCAACTCACTCTCACATTACATATATCACACCCACAGAACAGCTGTGTGCAAAAGATCTTTTTCCACTATCCACAGTTCCGTGTCAACAACATTCTCAGTAAATTTAGACGAAGAGAGAAACATCCCCACAATTTATGCCAAAATAAATGATGAGTTCTTAAGCACACCCACAAGGTGTTAGTGTCTCACACTAACACCTTGTGGGTTGAGTGGCACCCTGTGGGTTGAGTGGCCCTTTGGGTTGAGTGGCACTCCTGCCAGAGAACAAAACTCTTAGCACAAACCTCACCATCACGTTAAGGTGACAACTGTTAAGAAAAAGGGAGTTGAGGAAAAGGAAGAGAATGAGTGGAGGAGAAGTAAGAGCGTTAAGGAGAATAGGGAATTATGAGGAAGGGGAGAAATTGGGTAAGTGAGGTGGTAATGAGAACCTTCAAAACAAGGGAAAACAGTCCCAATGGTGACACTTTTCAAATCGCTAGTGCTCCCTCATTTGGAATATTGTTCAGTGTTGACGGCCCCGTTCAGGGCAGGAGAAATATCAGAGTTGGAACAAATACAGAGATCGTTTTCGGCCCGCATAAAGCCTACAAAACATTTAAATTACTGGGAACGCCTTAAAGTCTTGAACATGTACTCACTGGAGTGGAGGAGAGATACATGATAATATATACCTGGAAGGTACTCGAGGGCCTTGTAATCTGCACACTGCCATAACAACATACTGGAGCGAGAGATGTGGGAGGAACTGCAAGATAAACCCAGGAAAAAGCAGGGGTGAAGTGAGCATAATAAGAGAACACTCTATCAACATCCGTGGTCCCAGATTATTCAACATCTTACCAGAACAAGTGTAGAAGGCTTTAGGAAGAAACTGGACAAGCATCTTCACCAGGTGTTAGATCAAGCAGGCTGTGATGGATATGTGGGGCAGAGGGCCTCCGTCAGCAACAGCCTGGTTGACCAAGCAAGCACCAGACGAGCCTGGCCCATGACCGGGCTCCGGTAGTAGAAATATTCTCGGAACTCATCAAACATATGGTAAAGGTATGTGATGGGCGTGGCGGGTGGGGGTGGGCGTGGGAGTTAGAAGAAAAAAATGATCAAAATGGACTAACTAGCTAGATGTAATTACGGTGGACTAATGTGTTGTGGAGGACGACTTTAGTGGGTGAGAGGTATGGAGGGAGTGGGTGAGTAGTATGGGGAGTGGGTGAGAGGTATGGGGAGAGTGGGTGAGAGGTATGGGGGGAGTGGGTGAGTAGTATGGGGAGTGGGTGAGAGGTATGGGGGGAGTGGGTGTAGTAGTATGGGGAGTGGGTGAGAGGTATGGGGGGAGTGGGGTGAGTAGTATGGGGAGTGGGTGAGAGGTATGGGGGGAGTGGGTGAGTAGTATGGGGAGTGGGTGAGAGGTACGGGGGGGAGTGGGTGAGAGGTATGGGGAGTGGGTGAGAGGTATGGGGGGAGTGGGTGAGTAGTATGGGGAGTGGGTGAGTAGTATGGGGGAGTGGGTGTGAGTATGGGGGGAGTGTGGGTGAGTAGTATGGGGAGTGGGTGAGAGGTATGGGGGGAGTGGGTGAGTAGTATGGGGAGTGGGTGAGAGGTATGGGGAGTGGGTGAGTATATGGGGAGTGGGTGGAGGATGGGGGGAGTGGGTGAGAGTATGGGAGTGGGTGAGAGTATGGGAGTGGGTGAGTAGTATGGGGAGTGGGTGAGAGGTATGGGGGAGTGGGTGAGTAGTATGGGAGTGGGTGAGAGTATGGGGAGTGGGTGAGAGAGTATGGGGGAGTGTGGAGGAGGGAGGAGTGGGTGAGTAGTATGGGGAGTGGGTGAGAGGTATGGGGGAGTGGGTGAGAGGTATGGGGGGAGATGGGTGAGAGGTATGGAGGGAGTGGTGAGTAGTATTGGGGAGTGGGTGAGAGGTATGGGGGGTGAGTGGGTGAGTAGTATGGGGAGTGGGGTGAGAGGTATGGGGGGAGTGGTGTGTTGGAGTGTAGTATGGGGGAGTGGGTGAGAGGTATGGGGGAGTGGGTGAGTAGTATGGGGAGTGGGTGAGAGGTATGGGGGGAGTGGGTGAGTAGTATGGGGAGATGGGTGAGAGGTATGGGGTGGTGAGAGTATGGGTGAGTAGTATGGGGAGTGGGTGAGAGGTATGGGAGGGGATAGTAGGGTGGAGAGGTATGGGGGAGTGGGTGAGAGTATGGGGGGAGTGGGGGGTGGTGAGTAGTATGGTGGATGTGGGTGAGAGGTATGGGGGAGATGGGTGAGTAGTAGTGGGGAGTGGTGGAGAGGTTATGGGGGGAGTGGGTGAGTAGTATGGGGGGTGGGTGAGAGGTATGGGGGAGTGGGGTGAGTAGTATGGGGAAGTGGGTGAGAGGTATGGGGAGTGGGTGAGTAGTATGGGGGGGGTTGGAGGTATGGGGAGTGGGTGAGAGTATGGTGAGTGGGTGAGAGGTATGGGGGGTGGGTGAGAGGTATGGGGGGAGTGGGTGAGTAGTATTTGAGAATGTTAGTACTAAGTGTAGAATCGCCTACAGAATGTTGAGTAAATGGACACAGTTGTAGTGATCCAATCAGGGGTGACCTTACCTGTCAACACGATGACGTCACTACAGAACAGCCAATCAGATATTACTACCGTGTTACCACGTCACGAGTAGTGATCCAATCAGATATTACTACCGTGTTACCACGTCACGAGTAGTGATCCAATCAGGGGTGACCTTACCTGTCAACACGATGACGTCACTACATGACCATCACTTACCTGTAGAAACAAAACAAAGATATAAATTAGAAGTTAATAAAAGATATAAGAAATAACAACAAAAACTGCACAAATAAGTTAATGTGACAAAAAATGTTATGTGATGTAAAAAAAGTTATGTGATGTACAACACAAAGTTATATGATGTACCAAGTTATGTGATGTACCAAGTTATGTGATGTACCAAGTTATGTGATGTACCAAATTATGTGATGTACCAAGTTATGTGATGTACCAAGTTATGTGATGTACCAAGTTATGTGGTGTACCAAGTTATGTGGTG